CTTGTAAATTAATTTCGGTGGAGTCTTCTTTCTTTTCTTTTTTTTTTTTTGTGGGGGATAATGTTAGTTATTTAATAACGTGGTGTTTTATTCAGGCCGTAATGATATTAACTGATTTTTTGCTATTGATAATTTGAAATATTCCATATTAATAACGATTGCATTCTAATGTGTAGATATTTCGTAAACAGTTCATATCATCTTTACTCTGAGAAATATTTCGGCTTAATACAAATAAATATATAAAATATATACTTGACATAAAACATTAGTGTTAGAAAATCATATTAGGCTTATTTTGAAAAAAGGCTTGGAGCAATGGACAAAAAATGGCCACTCACTGTGTCTGTTATGTTTGTGTTTAGACAGTTTTTTTTAATCAATTCATCCAAAGTAAGATTACGAAGCCAAGAGGCAACGGACTACAGGGAGTGAAATATAATGAAAATTCTTTAGAAGGAATCGGAACTCAATTCTAAACAGAGGACAAAGGACAAACCTTTATTCCTGTTAAAAGCTAGAACCGGTGGTAGACGAACCTATATACTTCTATTGAGAATAGTAATAATTAGTAAATAAGATTTCAGAGTTCAGGCGGATATTAGAAGTATAAAGTTGAATCAGACTTTAGAAGGAACCGGAAACCCAATTTAAAACAAAAAGAATGGAAAATAACTCACCTCCTACTCAAAAGACCGGAGAGTAGTGTGATCGGTGTTATAAGCGAACCTATCTACTCTTAATGAGGAGAAAAATAAATAAATAATTAAAAAATAACATTTCAGATTTCAGCGGCTGATGTTAGACATATAGAGTTAAAGTAGACCTTAGAAGGAACCGGGCGCCCAATGCTAAACAGGAAACAATGGATAAGCACCAACTCCTGCGAGGAATGCGGACCGTGTAACAGGCGAACCTATCTACTCCTACTGAGAAGAAAAATATAAATAAATGAATAATAAATAAAATGTCTGTTTTCAGGCAAAGACATTAGAAGTATAGAGTTGAAGTAAAATTTAGAATGAACCAGAAACCCAATCCTAAACAAGAAATAAGGTATAAATATATACTTCTGTTCAAAAGCCAAAGGAGGTCTGTGAACCGGGCGATAGGGGATCATGTGTATTCCTATTGAGAAGAAAAAATAATTAGTAAATAAAATTTCAGATTTCAGGAGGAGGAGTCAGAAGTATAGATTTGAATTAGACTTTCGAAGAAACTAGGAGTCCTGTTTTTAACAGGAAACAAGCTATATATATCTACTCCTTTTCAAAACATTGGGAAGGATTCGAAATGGCCATGAGTGAACCTATCTACTCCTATGGAGTAAAAAACATAAAAATACAAAAGTAAGTAGAAAATTACAGAGTTTAGGCGGAGACGTCACTGATAAGAGATAAAAAAAGAGAAAGAAAAAGAAAATAAGATAACATTCTGAACAACAGTTAGATGAAAGCAAAATATTATCTATTCTTATATTTCACTGATGTTGAATGAACCATTGCAGTTTATTAGCGTAATAAATCGGCTTTCCTGGCGTAGGACCACCCGAAAGGGACCGAAACTTTGGAATCCAACCGTAAACATGAAGTGTATTTGGGACAAGCTGTCAGGAGGAACCGACACGCCAAGCAGCGTCTTCCGCTCACACTGCTCTGTGATTCCTGCTCGCGACTCTTCAGCGGTAGGCTGGTTCTTCACAACCATCTCCGTCAAGGCCACCAGAAAGGGAATGAGAAGAAAAGATGACGATCCCACTGCTCGGATGCGAGTGGATGCCGACGACGATTAGTCTGTTATTCAAGAATACAGCAAAATATCTCAGAATGTAGTTGTTTACTACAATAGAGCAGCAAAAAGGCCGACACAACATGTATCTGATATTTTATGTTGGAAATAAAGTTCACTCACATTTCAAACTGATCCCTTTTAGGGAACTTTTTCAGTACTTACGGTGACCATTAATTTTTGCATTCCAATGTTTGTATTTTCTTTCTTTACAGATTAAGCAATTTCAAACTAAGTAAATTTTATATATATATTTCGCGCTTCTGAAATAAGTTTTGATCATACTCATGTTCAGACAGGGTTTATTGTTAAAATTACAAAAATTGTCTTTAGCAAAGTAAAGCGGTGATAAACAATCTATGGAAATTAAGGTTTTCGTGTCTGATCAGGTCAACTGGCCATCTTTTATAGGGAATTTTTTTCTCCTGAAGATTTCCCTCATTCGAGTTCAAATCCTATGTGGGAAAAATTCTACCGCAACTTGATCGGAAATTAGCAGAACATCAGGAAAATCGGGTAAGTATTTAAACCTGGTCAATTGATCGTATGTCATTTGACTGCTTTTCAGATTAAACAAACTGTTGTGCTCTGCTCATTATTGAAGAGTCTATGTGCTCGTGCTTCTACTTTAGGTAGATTCATCTTTCCTGATGATATCCATACCAAACGCAGACAACAATGCTTTTCACCTACTGAAAATAAAGGAAAATTCGTCTCTAACTCAGGGTGACACTCGGAAAAGGTCACGTACTGTGTTTGGTGAAATATGATGATCAAGACATCGTAATATTTGCTGCAGGGCCCTGATATCTGACGGGCATGTATCATAATCATGCTCTTGGTATTCCCTTAGTAAGAAGTAAGTTCCATTTGGACAGCTTCTTCACAAAAACCGCTGACATATCGTATGCTTTACCGATCACTACAATCTTAACCACTTCAAGTCTAGCGGTAACAATTATCTTTCCGACATAACCGCATAAACTGTAATTTTGCGTTCTTTTCCGCTCATAAAACATCATAGGATAACCCTCTAACATAAGGTTTACGGCCCCACCACGTTGAAACACC